TTTCTTTAAAGTCTTTTGTGTGCTTACTTCCCTATGGGCGTATCGCACTTCGAAGAGAAAGCCAACTCAAGCAGCTCCTTACTCCCTTGTGTATGGGTCCGAGGCTGTGTTACCTATAGAGTTGGAAACGCCATCTGCTCGAATGGCTCTCGCCTCGGGGATGGTATTGGAGCCTCGAACCATCAGATTGGAAGCATTAGAGGAAAAGCATGGCAGAGCTGCAAAAGTCATGGAAAGGTATCATGAGTCCATCGCCCGAGCCTATAACCAGACTGTGGTACCAAGGAAGTTTGAAGAAGGTGATCTAGTATGGAAGATTGTAGACCCAATCATGCGAGGACAACCTTTGCCCAATTTTTCTCCAAAATGGGAAGGGCCCTACAAGGTGGTTCAGGCCAGCTCAAGTGGGTACTACAAGCTTGTAAGGGTTGAAGATGGCTTCCGAACTGGCCCGCTCAATGCAAAGTTTATCAAGCATTACTACGCATAGTTGGACTCATCTATGTTGAAATTCATTCACTTTCTTACTTTGTCTAAAGGTTGTATTTCCCTTGCGTTATGAAGAAGCTGGTTTTCTCTATGGTGTATGTTTTATCCCATCACTTACAGTGAATCTATTATGCTTTTGTCAAGAAAGTTGAAGAACTAATGAGAATATTTCATCTTTTATAAACATGTGCATATGATTGTTCTATCATTCGAAATAAATATTTTATCAAGTAGAATGAGAAAACAATGCGAAAATATCCAAACAACAAAAATTTTGTCATTTCATTGCATTGTCCTAGATAAAACATTTTTATCGAAAGGGGCAAGAAAGTAATGATAAAAAAAGAAAAAACTCAATCTTTCCTAAAGACACCCTCGAAGAAGCTGCCCGTCATATCTACATCTGGAGGACAAACAGTAGAGTGTGCCTCTAAAGTCTCCAAGGCCCGAGCATAACCCGACTCAAGTTCACGAAGAGTTGCCTTTATCTCATCTATGGAGGTGCGATAAGAGGCAAGCACAGACATAAGTTCCAGCCGATGACTGGCGTTCGAAGCTATATCCAAGCGCTTCCGAAGCCATGATAAGTCCACTTGGTGACGCTCCGTGTCAGAGATCCCCTGATACGCCGTCTCGACTACTTTCCCATTAAGGTCACACAACCGTTGCGTGTCCAAGCTATATAAGATAGTGGCAAAAGACTCGAGAAGAGCAGTCTGAATGAGTGGACACTGGCAAGCAAATGAAGCAAAGGTCTCCGGGTAACTTGAATGCACAAGCTGTAGAACTGAAGCAAACTCAGGAGCTACCCAATAATGGAGAAATGATACTTTGCCAGAAGCTGAAGGAGGAATTGGGGCCGGAAAGCTGCTAGTCTCAGGAATCTCCCCAATGTCTATCGGGTTAGATGAACCACCCGGAGGGGTAACTCCCGGCAGAGGTCCCGAGCCTGAGAATGCCGAACGATAAGGGGAAAGACCAAAAGCATCATTATCAATGTGGAAATCACTGAGATTCAAATCCAAAATATTTGAAGGCACTGGCGATGAAGAACCTCTGGCAGTCGTCTCAAAGGCAGGTGTTCCCCCTTGAGAAGGAGAACCGTGAGGAGTTACAAAGAGAGTCGGAGTAGAGTCCGGGGCAGGTAAAGACGGGACCCCGGTAGCAGCTAACACTGGAGCAGAGTCTGAGGCAGGTGAAGGCAAGACCCCGGTAGCAGCTAACACTAAAGAAAAGATAAAGAAGCCTTATTAGAGGTAGGGAACATGAAAGCCATTTGAGTAAAGATTTCTCACAGATAGAAGTAAATGACAAACTTCAGAAAGAAAGATTACCAGAGGGAGAATCAATATGCAAAGCCGGAGCGACTGAAGGACTCCTAGCATCAGCAAGGTCACTTGGCCGTATAGAGAGCACCTGATTGATCTCAATGTCTGACGAAGCCTGAACAGTAGCAGTCATCCCTGAAGAAGGAAGGAGGGCCGGAGGATGAGAATCACCATAAGTGCCAGAGCGAGTCTCAGAGATCTCTAGCACATCTACCTCCACACCATTCCCAGAGGCACACCTCATCTCTACATTGCTTCTAGAAGCATGGCCCGCGGCATCAATTCCTGTGGCATCAGTCCCTCCAGCAATCTCAATATCAGAACGGTGAGCCCCAATAAACTCGTCACCAAGGTAGTGCTCCTCCTCAGCAGAACGGTGAGCCCCAATAACCTCGTCACCAAGATAGCACTCCTCCTCAGCTACGGTAGGGCAGTGACAACGCATGCATGGAATAAGGTCACAAAAATGGTTAGAGGACTCAGCCTCATCATCGTCATCATCTATAACTGCTATACGAGAGGTGCGCATCTTCACAAGTCTTGCAGACAAAGGGAGGGTGTCGTCCAAGTCTGAGTCCGGCCTGGGGGAGGCAGCATGGCCAGGAGCCACGGTACTGAAAACGTCAACAACCGCAGGATCCTACACAACATGGACAAATAAAAGTTTTCATTTTAGAAGGTATAGTCGCAAGAAGGAAAGTAGCTTCAAATCAAGAATTTCGGGTACCTCATGAAGCCTTTTGGAAAGGCGAGGAGCGGAAGGACTGGCATCAGAAGTCCTCTTGTGAGCCATCTTCTTAAGGCGGGTCGTCCGAGGACCAGAGGCCTTATTCAAAGGGACTAGCTCCGGAGAAGTAATTGCCAAGCTAGAAGCAGATGCCCGAGCAGAAGGGTCAGTTGGAGCAGATGAGGTGAAGAAACTCTCGTACATGTGGTCAGATTTTCGGCTCTCGGGTAGCCGAAGAGAAGAATCCTTCTTATAAATCGGCGGAGGCAAACATATGGTCAGTCTGCTCTGGACAAATGCAATAAACGCATCGATATTCTTCTGCCAATACCACCTGAAAGAGGAGGTGAAACCCCCTACTCGACTCAAGCCTGGCATCGTCAAAGAGCCGGATATGGGAAGCACGGTGTGTACAAGCCCGCGACTGAAGCGCTCGCAGCTCGCTGAAAATGATAATAAAGGAGGTGCTGGCCCCGGGGCACATTGATCAAACCCGAATTGACATGCTACGCGGTCAGGCCTATAAACGGCACTATCAACGCCTTCCTCATGCCACACCGGTAATGAACTCGGACGGATCATAATCAGCATATCAACAAAGGGTGCAGGGATGTTCTTCGGCAAAGGAAAGGACACCGAGCGGGAGGAACCATGATAGATAAGCGGTGTGGCCACACCCACAGGTGGGCATACATACGGCTGTGCCACAAAGCGTCGGGGATCATCCACCAGAGTATTCAAGGATAAGGTGGAAATGGTACGTGACCACCGTGTAATCAACGGCTGGCAAGACTTCGCCTTCTCAAATGTCCGAGATCCATCAGTATCGAGCACGGGGATGCCATCTTTATCCACTATCTCCCGAAGAACCTCCGCCTCGAATACAGTCGGAGCAGGGGCAAATTTTGGGAACCTCTCGAAGAAGAAACAAAGCAGGAACTGGCTGTGAATGAAGGAGACAGGCTCATATCGACCCACGGAGCGAACCATATCTCGATGTAGTAGATCCAGCCGATAATAGAGATTCCCAAGAAATAGGGGAGCCAAAGGGATCCGATCTCCTCTGAAGAGCCTGACTGCCAAGGGGAAGACGAAAGGATTGAGGGAATCCGGAGGTGTGCTCGGAAGAATGAAGAATGAAAGGAAGCAAGCCAGAAATCCCAAGAAATAGAGCCTAGAGCCATACATCGGACCGGCCTCATACTCCCGAGAGTCAGGGTCAGCATCTCTGGCCAAGGGCTGAAGATCCTTGAAGAAGTAACGGATCCATGCAGTATAGGAGGCACGGTCCATCCTTACTCGACTAGTCCTCCTCGCTGAACCATCAAAAACAGAACTCCACCGACCACAAGTTTGAAGATTTAGCTTCAGAGATTGGATCAAAGAATCATCTTCGGGGGGTGTCTGCTCAGGGTCGAAGGCATCAGGGCCGGTCACTTCCAGACGCAGCAACATGAACACATCCTCAAGGGTGGGCCCCATCTCGTGCTGGCCAAGTATAAAGGTGTGTGTCTCGGTGCTCCACCGAAGAGCCATGGCTTCCAGGCTAGCATTGTTGCGACGGATGGATAGAGATCTAGATATTTTCACCGGGATCAATAACCGGGCCTCCTAAAGCCGTTGACAGAGGCTCTTGTCTGAAAGGACATCATCGACCCACTCCTGCCAAAAACCTTGGTTCACAAGCCATCAACTCAAGCAATTTCATTGCATGATGGCTCATAGACCAGTGTGCAATCTTGATAAATGCAACAAAACAAGACACAAGTTACCTCCCTTTCATGGAAGATAAAGGGAAGAAGTTGACCTTGGAGACTTGAATCATTTCATCACTAGCAAGTATAAAATGGTCCAAGTTCCTTGTGTTCAATTAACGTCTGATTGAACAGACCAAGGTATTATCTTGTTCACTTTTAGTCCCAAGATTTAGTTACTCATTTTAACATACCAATCATTCTTTAATCCAATTAAGTCCATTGGGTGAATTGAAGTCCTCTAATGGAAAGAGGGCTCAAAACACAAGTTGCTTTAGGTATGAAAGAAGTATCATACCGTTGGTAATGAATCCCTTAAGAGATTAAACTATTAAGTATGAAACCTCAATTTCACACTTAGGCAAACAAGTGACTTGAAACCACTTTCGAAGAAAAATTAAATGCCAAGAAAGGAGGGAGGTTGTAGAGATTATACTTGCTAAAATTAAGTGTGAAAAGCACTAAAGCAATGCAATTAACTCAAACAAGTGATGTCTAGAGACCTAAAACACCAAGCTTGTGAGGACTATTACACTACAAGCATGCAATACAAGACTCAAATGACTTAACCAACCCAAAACATAGTTAAAATAGTTCAAATCAGAGACTAAAACATTCTGGAATTAAGCTAGAACAAGCTAAAAAAATAAGCTAAAGCATAACACCAACTAGGCTTGCAAATAAGACGCAAGGAGGGGCGGCTAACCCCTTCAAATTTGGACGTCAAAATATGATTTTCATCACTGAAAAAGCTCTGAATTTAGTGTTTAAAAGCCTAGAAAAGATGGTTTGAAAGTGGGAAACAAAGGTGAAAAGGCCTTATGATCAAGGAATAAAGAAGGATGAACCACCGGCTAACCTTTGATGGCCTAAAACACCAATTTTAGCCTACAAAAATAGAGTTTTTCATAATCCAAAAACAGCCCAAACCAGTGGGAAAAAGATAGGAAAACAAATATACAAAGCAAGCTAATAGAGAAAGTGTTTTACCTCTTGAAAAGAAGAGTAACTCCAAGCAACAAAACCAAGCAAGTACACCCTCTAGAGCTCAAACCAAGCTCAAGAACACCTCAGCTCAAAGATGAGAGGATTTGATTAAGGGTGTATAGGCAAAGGTGTAGTGAATGTAGGCTGAGTGTAGAGAATTTGTAGAAAGGGAGAAAAATTTTTGAGTCTAAAATTTTCTAACCTTGCTGCAAGAGAGAGGGGCTCTCTATATATAAAAAGCATGAAATTCCTACAAGGAGATCCAGCCCTACACGTGGGTGAAGATGGGTGCATCTGTACAAACAGCTGGCATAAAATATCTACAAAAAACTGGTGGCCGACAAACCAAAAGTGATAGCTAGCAGCCTCCAGGGATGGCCGGCAGGCCACCAGAGGTTGCAGGCTGGAAAGATCAAGGCATGGTCCAAAAATGGGACAAAAATGATACAGGGTTTGAAAGGCTCAAAGTTATGGCATTCCACTGAGGACTTCAAGCATTTGGCAAGCAAACAGACTCATCATCGGATGTACTTACAAGGACATCCAAGTCATAAGGGCTGTCAAAAATGGGGTGTCTATAGCTTGTCACTTCTGTCGGACTTCACCCACTTCATGGCCGAAGCTTCCTTCCAATACCAAGACATCCACGGCGAAACACTTATGGCCGAACACTCACACCCATTTCCATGGTAGATCAAACAAACACTACAAAGTCGAAAATACCTCCTTCACACCACCTCCCACAGAGGCGAAGCTTCTGAGAACCACTAACACCAACACCTCTCATGGCCAAAGAAAAATCCATGGTTGAAAAGACCCAAGAAAGAACTCCTTTGTAGATACTTAAATAACAAAACTCACTCCATAAAATGTAATTTCTAGACACCTCCATGAAGGGAATCAAACCCACAACACCCTCCTCCTAGCCGAACTAAATGTTGACCTCCGTAGATCTGAATAGAGTTCACCCCTCAAACTCGCACTCTCAAAAGAGCGCTCGAATCCCGAATGAAGTTCCTAAACAAATCCAACCCCCCAAGGCTGAAACCCACCCCTTAAACACCCTAGAGAAGTGAAAAGGATTTGGAAAAACTATGGGGATTCAAGTTTATTAGAAGAAAAACAACAATCATGCACAAAAGAGGCGAAACCAGCCAATCGTTATGGCCGGTTGCCAACAATGAGGCCCATGATGGAAGTGTTTAGAGAGAAAGAGAGAGAGATTTTAGAGAGAGACTTATGACATCAACATGACATCTCTTCTACTCTCATTTTAAAATATATTTCTAATTAGTTATTGGGGACAAATTTAAAAATTTTCAAATTTAAAGTTTTAACTTTTTAAAGTGGACATATATTTTGAAACATTCAAAAATGAAATAATAGAGAAACAAAATGGTACCGGGAGTATTTTTTTCCCACCATTTTGTCACCAAACATAACCAAAATACAATAAGTTTTATACATAATCTTGAATCTTTAAAACAATAAGTCTAAGTATTCGTTTGTATCTAGAATAAATATTGAGAGCTCTAATTTTGGAGCTCTAAAGAGAGTTCTAGTGATGTGACAAGGAATGAGACTCACATGTCATGTGATGTGTGTATCTATATTTTTGTTTTTGTTTTGTTTTGTTTTGTTTTGTTTTTTTTAATCTTGCTACATCATTAGAGCTCTCTTTAAAGCTCCAAAATTAGAGCTCTCTATTATTGTTGTTGTATCTATTAGTTATAACTATTGAAAAAGGAAAAATATAGACAATTTAATTACTTTTTTTTTTCTTTATCACTATTAACAACCATTTCTCAATCTTATCGTCATCTATCACCACCCCTCCTCTTTCTCAATCATTGCTGAATTTACACCCCTAGTAGTGGTGGCGGCATAATGGTGACGGTGGTGGTAGTGATAGCGATGACAGTGATGGGGGTGGTATCATGGTGGTGGTGGTAGTGATAGTAGTAGCAGTGGTGGTGGTGGCAGCTGCAGTGATAGTGATGGTTTCAGTGATGATAGTGGTAGCAATAGTTGTGGTGGTCGTGGTAGTGGTGGTTAGTTTATAATAGTATTTTATAAATTTAGTCAAAATTAGATAAGTTTGATATGACGTAAAATTTTCTTAAATTTTAGCCTATTTTTTAAGAGGCATTTAAATTTTTAAGTGATATCAATTATGATTATCAAATGAATTTAATTGATTATCAGTTAATACATTCAGTTTTAAGTGTTGAATCATGTTATCAAACAAAAGAATATTTTTCTATAAATCAAAATAAATAAATAAACAAGTATAAGTTATTTCATTTTCTTTTTTCTTTCATTTGATAAATGCGAGAACGAGAAATATTAAAATTATTAGAAGGGAATCAAACTCACAACACCCTATGACAAGAACAACTTGCCATCCTCTTCAATCTTTCACATTAAGTTAGACAAGCATGGAGACACTACAACATATGAGAGTTTTAAAGACTAAATATTTTGATCTCTAAAAGTGAAAATTTTGTTGCAAAAGACATTTAGGGACCAATTTTTATCGTCATGAGCATAGTCGTTAAAAGGTCGTCCCAAAAAGTAAAAAATAAGACTTTTAGCGACAAAATTTTGAAAATGTCACTAATAAATGGACTTTTAGGGACAAAATAATTTGGTCTCAAAATGATTTATTTTTTCAGACATAGAATTTGGTCATAAAAGGATAATAATTCATCACTAATATCTAATTGTTGTTGCTAAAAATATAATAGCGACACTTTTTGCAACAAAAATATTTGGTCCCTAAAAAATAATTTTGTTCGTAAATTTTGGTCTCTAAAATTTTACTTTTTTTTAGTGAGATTTTATGAGATTATTTTAGAATTCTAAATTTTTATTTATATTCCCAAGAAATTGCGGAAAAAATTTACATTTATATTAAGATAAAAATAAAAGAAACACATGAATTATTATGTACAAATCTTACAAAAAATTAAGATTTTAGAAACCAAAATTTAGGGACACACTATAACAAAAACACACTTTAGTGGCACTATGCTTGTGGCATGTTTTTAAAAAATGCGACAAAAATAATATTTGGTGACACATTTTAGAAAAATGCCACAAAACCACAAACATATAAGGTTGTAGTGGCAGATTTCGCAACTTATGGATGCTAGCCGAGAATATTTATACAAGTAAGTTGAGAGTTTGGGAACTGATTTTGTTTTGATAATTTGTCTCTCCGGAAGATAGATGCCTCTATGGCTTTTCTGATGCAGTGCTAATCGAAACAATAGTAACAATCTTAAGATCCGTTGATTCACACAAGAATACTGGAAATAAGACTCCTCTTTAGACCCGTTGATTCCCCAAGAATACCGAGTTTAAAGGCTCAACCAAAGTTGATTCACACAGAATTAACCAAAGTTGGAACAAAGAGTAATAAAACTCAAAATATATTAATCATCAAAACTCTCTCCCCCTTGCCCTAAGGCTTACATCTTTATTTATAATGAACCTAATTCTTGTAGAACAAGAAACAAATAAAATAGGAAATAAAATCAAAACTAAGAAAATAGGAAAACTACATCATATTAAATTAGGAAACTAAATAACTAAATAATTCCATAATATTCTATACCAATTTAGAATATTCATGGTCAAATATTAATTTTAAAATAATAAAATAAAAATACTTATTTTCTAAAATTCAGTCTGCATCATTCTTCCCCGCTTGAAAAAACTCGTCCTCGAGTTTCCATTACTTGAAATAACTTGGTACGTCTGCACTGATCCGCATCAACCTTGTATTTGAGGTTAATTTTCTCAAACCTGAATTGTAAATGAGAATCTTCTGAAATTAAATAAAT